AAGACTTTTTAAGCCGACGCATGCACGAAAGAGACGAGTAACAGGACCCTGAATTTCGGCTGACGCGATTTCCTGTGCCGACGTCTTGGAAGATATCAGCCGCCTTCTTACATCACTGAGAGTTGAGTTCACACAGACCAGAGGCAGCTACCAGGCGCCAAATGATAAGGTCGAAAGACCCGATGTTGCGGCAAGAAACGTGTGAAGATAATTAGGTGATGGCGATCATTGCAAGCCGGAGGGCGCGAGCGATCAACTATCCTGGTGACAGCCGACCAAATGGCCGAGTAATCAGCACGCCAACATCCAACACGGAGGAAGAAATTGCGGCAATTAACGACTCAGACGCGAACTGACGAGCCATCATAGTCTTAATTACGACCCCCAGCGGTGATCATAAGAGCTGTCAATTATGGTATGCATGTGGCCCCACGCGGCAACGTACTACAAATATTGCAGTCTTTGTGCCTCCACTACCTTTATCTGCAACCCTCTCTGGTGATGGGCTCGAGTGAGAATCCGAAGCGTCAGACCAGTAAACTTCATTTTCCAGTGATCGCATCTTCTTCTTCTTCTGAATTGCAAGCCGTGTTAGAGGGTGGATAGCGCCAAGCGTTTTTGCCTTCGAAAAATTGACATGTGAACTCAAAAAATAAAGCATCTCCGGGGAATCGCATGGAGGACATTGGATGGCCCAATGATGAGCCAAACCACCCGAAGTTGAGTCATTCAGCGGCACAAAGTCGGCGAATCGCCTGTCTAGGCTCTTAGCCGGTACCTTTGCTGTCAGTATGGTGAATTAATCGGTATAGTTAACATCCTTAATGTATTCGATCTGTCGAAGGGTTTTCTTGAGCGGCTTTGCAGAAGGATGGGTGTGGTCGCCGTTGTATAATAATAATAATAATAATAATAATAATAATAATTTTTTTATTAAAGACCCGTCGGGGTCCCATCAAAGCATATGTATGTATCGTATGTACTGAGGACAGGTCTCATATTAGTTTCCAAACAAACCTATGTTGGCTTTTTACTGAATACTCTGCGAACTGCGCAGGCAGTCCTAGGTCTTGGGTTTTATTTTAAAACTGGTCGTTATTTTGGTGAGGATTTGTGAAAAACGTTTTCCCTGGCGTTCGTTTTCATGCAGAAACCTCGGTTAAAAGTAACTGATATTTCTCACGAAAAGGTTTTCTGGTCTCGCCTATATTTTGGGACATCTCTTCGCTTCACTGTGTTCTCGATCCAACCAAATCATTAATGCTGGTTCTGGAAATTATTCCTCCAGATTTTTGATTTTGCCTTCGGGACACGTGTTGCGACGCAAAAAATTGTCAGGTTTCTTATGAGGATTGACCTTTCTGAAAAGAACAAAATGAATAAACCTCTGTTTGAAGTAAGAAACTCCACGTATACATGCGTGGCAAAGAGGACAATATCTAATTGACTATTATAAATTCGGGAATATTCATGGCTTGATTTGCCGAAAATGAATAAGCCATTTTAGATGTAAAAAGGCAGTTAGCTCGACCTAGTGGGAGTATTCCAAACTGAGCACAAGAGTCGACGATGAGGTTGCACAACCGATCTCCAAAGTCCGTCAAGCCTTCTGCCGGCTGCAGAACTTCATGTGGAGTCGTCGCGACCTCCAACTGAACATCACATTGAAGGTGTAAAAGACCGTCGTCCTGGCGACATTTCTCTACGGAGCGAAGACTTGAACCGTACACTCCAACCACGCCAAGAAACTCAACCACTTCCATGGCAGCTGCCTTCGCAGAATAGTCAAGCTCGGATTGCAGGACAGAATCTTCGACATGGAAGTCCTAGAACAGACTGGCATCCTCAG